TTTGGACGCCAGGCTCAAGCAGTATCCAATCAGCCCCACAATCATTACCCAGATTCCTACCAAGGCGGCAGACTTGGGCAGACTCGACAGACAAGCCCTGACTGGCCCAGCTTGCCCAGGGCTAGGCGGATGATGGACAAGCCTTGAGTGGGTGTTAAACCCCTACCCAACCCTAGTTAGTGACCCCTATCTGAAAGCCCCCCCAAGCCCAGATTGAGTCTATGACACCCCTAGCAAGGACTGGATACTCCCTCCTGGCACTGTAGTTAAGTGTATGTGTGCCGATAGGCTGTATGTACTCCCATGGGCTATGTATATATGTGCTTATTAATTGTATATGCGCCCATCAGCTGTATCTCTGCATAGGCCATATCCATGTATCCATAAGCATCGTATGTGTGTATAGAGATTATGCTGTTCAGCGTATTCGAACCCATGTTCATCATTGTATAACAGTCATCCTGAACCATATGTACTACAGTTTCAAATGGTACCAACGTACGATATGCCTGACGGGGGGGATCATCAGAACAATCTATGGTCAACATCCTTAATCAACCTCCGACATAGTCAAGACCCGACATACAACAATCCTGGACTAAATCCCTGGCTGATGCAGACAGTGCCTGTAATCCTTATCAGAACAATCCATGGTTAACATCCTTAAGCAACCTCCAACATATTCAAGACCAGGCATACAACAATCCTGGACTAAATCCCTGGCTGGTGCAGGCAATGCCTGTAATCCTTACCGTGCACCAACCCAAGGGATTGGTGTGTACAGCCCTGCGATGCGCGCAAGGCTGCAGGGTTTTGAGCCCGCAACCTCAAGCCACAATCCACATCAATGCTACGGGTTGACCCCTAGCCAATATCGCCCAGTGCACCTGCTGAAGCAGGTATCGCACCTGCTGCTCAGAGCATCTCCCACATGTTCCCTCTTTGAACACAGTCCCACATGTTCCCTCTTTGAACACAGTCCCACATGTTCCCTCCTTGAACACAGTCCCGCATGCCTTCTTTGAACACAGACATGGCTGCTACGGAGTACCCCATACTACTGTAATGATAATAAAAAAGGCCTGAAAGGCCGTCCTGTCCAGATTTGACAGGTAATTGAATCGGTTGGGCTTAGGGTCAGATCCCACTACCCTGGATTATTCATTTTCGACCCTCGATGACGAAGATCAACGGTCAGAAATGAACAATAGGGGCTTAGCCTAGTGGGATCTGGCCCTTAAACCAGCACTTGGCCCAGCTATGGGCCGTGGAAAAAAAATAGAGTAGAAACGTTTCTAGTTGGATGAATTTGGGCGCCCCTGTACTGGCCCATACGTTTCCTAAAATCGTGGCGTGTTAATGGGCACGACTGTAGGAAGTACTGGTGGTTTAAAAGAATGAGCCCTTAGGAAAAAAAGAAAAACAGCTGTCTAATCTGGACAGGACGCCTTTCAGGCCGTTTCTATTAGCATCATAGTACTATGGGGAACCTCGTAGCAGCCACCTCCGTGTTCAAGCCTCCAAGAAGGGAACATGCAGGACGTGCACTCACACCTGCAGGTCGGCGATACGGGCCAGGGATCAGCCGTTAGCGTCAGAGACCATGCCAACTGGACCAATACCTGCACCTCCCCTCCGCTCCCCTCCCCCTACGAACATCAGCGTTTGCTGCTCCATGCCCATCAGGGGGATCAACAGGCTATCTCTAGGTGGCGAGTGCCAAGCATGCCCAGGAAGGTACATGAGGCCAACGGGAATGAGCCCACGAGCTCCTGAATGCGACCTGCGGTCCTTACCAACTAAGCTACGCCGCTGGATTGTTCTGGTTTCAACAAAACACGTGTCCCTATCCATCCGATCTGAAAATCTAACGGCCACAATGTGACCACGTCGAAAAATACCACGAAATGACCACAACTAGACCGCCGCAAGTGACGTACGGGCCCCGATTAGCTTCATGATGATCTTTCACTTTTTCAATTAGGACTCTCTCTCGATTTATGTGTGTCCTCCTTGGGCAGGGGCCGTGCCAAAATTCGCTGTATCTCAAATAAAAATATAAAAAATTCGCTGTATCGCTGTTGGGGCGGGGGGCAACATGAATTACCTCGTTTGCGAGGCCCGCTTGCAGGGGTCCCATCTATATAGTCTTAGGAGTAGTGGTAGGAAGGTAGTGAAAGGCGAAAAAAGAATTTGAGAGAAGAACATAGTGTAGTTTAAAAAAAAAAAAATTTGACGGACGTCGCCAAGGATCTCCGTCATGATACCTCGATAAATAAAAAATAAAAAACATAGCCCGCTCACAATGCTCCGTGGCTCTGCACATCCTGCCCTTCCAGGCGCAATGTCATGAGCTAATTTTTGCATCTGAAAACCTGAGAGAGCCGTTTATGTACTTCTCCTTCTCCTTTGCTTTTTGCTTTTTTTTTCCCCTCGTCTCTCTCATACTCCCAGTACTCGTATATATTACAAGGGAATGGAGGCTCCCATGTCCCAAGGCGAAAAACAGAAACTCGTTTTGCTAGTACATAATTTGTCGAGTATGAGATCCGATGTCTCCGTCCATCTCATCCGTATTCGTTTATCTTTTTTTTTCTTTCTCTTTTTTTTTCTTTCTCCTGGACACTGCCATCTACATATTCATTCCCGAGCCGTTAATCTTTCCTTTCCCGTCCCATACACATCCGCCTTCTACCATCCAACCTCTCCTTCCCTTCTTCGTTGTTCTCTTTCTCCATCCTTCTCATCATCTTCCTCATCCCACAGCCCATTTCTTTTCATTATGCTTTTTTTCTTTTTTTCTTTTTTTGAAAAGGGGGCTCCGGTTACTGCCAGGGGTGATATGAGCACCTCCCGGTAGTACCTTTGCCCCTGGCTCTTCTCTTCGTCTTTCGCACGAACAGGGATGATGATGTCAACGGCGTTTGTGGTGCCCAAATCACACCGCCTTTTTTTTCATTTTCGCCTTTCGTTTTCCCCTTTTCTGGTCGCTTCCTTCTCCTCCTCCGCCTCCTCCTCCTCCTCTTCCTCATCCCTTGGCATTCAAATGAGACCGTGGGCGCCACTGTTTTTTCACTCTCTTCTACATGTCACGTGGACGTAGTCCTTTTGAAAAAAAAAAACCGAAAAGAAAATCGCATCTTCCTCTCCTCCTTTTACTCAATTCTCTCTTTTTTTTTTTTTTTTTTTTTTTTTTTTTACACAATTYTYTYTTTTTWTSCCACGCGAAGGCAGTTCTCTGAATTAAAAAAAAATGGAAAAGAAAATCGCATCTTCCTCTCCTCCTTCCTCCACTTTCCCCGCTCGCCTTTCCCTCTTCAATTTCGCCGCCTCCTCCTCCTCCTCTCTTCCCTTCTGTTTCTTGCTTGTACTCGTCCTCATGATTACCATGCTCCTCTTTGCCGTATCCCGCCCTTCTGCCTCCCTTCATCCTCTTCCTCCTTCCTCCGGCCCTGCCACTGACGATGTGATGGCGGAAAAACAGCACCGCCATTTCTCTCTCCCCTCGCCCACTTCTCTTCTCCACTGTCCCTTCTGCTTCTCTTCGTCTGGTGCTGCCGCTGCCGCTACTGCTGCTCTTGCTCTTCGTTTTCGTATGGGCTTAAAAAAGCAAATACTTGAATGAATAAACAAAGTAGATTAGAAGTATTACCTGATGAGATTAATAGAATGCCGTGCACACTGTCATCGCTGCTTTCACGGTCTCGCAATTCTACTATTACAGGACAGTCACTAAAGTGCACTTCTTCTAGTTCACCGCACGAAAGCTGCTATAGTCTCGTCCTAAGGCAAAGCTCATTCATTAATGCAGTGTCGAAGGCGATTTTTTAGCCAGATTCAGCTATGATGCTCGTGCCTTATGTTCGGTGGAAGACAGTACCCCGCCCGCGAATCTGTTTGAGAAGCTGAACCACCTCGTTAAAATCGATAATTCAAAAAATTGTATGGCAAAAGATAGAAGCAAACCACGTGTATTGCATGTACCAGTCAAAAGATGATAATGCTATACAACACACCAACTTACATAGATCAGTACAACATGAAATAAGTAAATCCACTCCTGCTCTCCGCCCTCCTCGAGGGAGTCGTTCCATCAACCGACGGGGTAAGGGGAAGAAAATTATGAATCGCACGCTTGCTGGTTTTCAGCTTCTTCTACTTCTTCTTCTTCTTCTTCTTCTGCTGCTGCTGCTGCTGCTGCTGCTGCTTCTGCTGCTTGTTGGGCGTGTGGTTTGCCCCTTATGGAGCGCCGATGCCCGACCAGCCGAAACGCGTAGAGGATTGTGCACGTTCGAGCAATCTGTGTGCGGCCACTGTAAAGGTTTCCAGAGAACAATTGCAAGATAGACTGTGTGCGGCCCCGCCTATGATGCGTCCAAAACTGTATGGGTGGGGAGTTGCACCTGCTGGAAACCCGGGTCCAGCATCCTGCAATATGCAGGTATGGTTGAAGAGCTCGGAATGCTATAACGCATAATTACGGCATGCCGGGATTGTCTTGGCCAGTTGTGTGATTCCTCTTGTACCGTGAGGACAAGTAGATTCATTTCTGGAAACACGATGGACTAATAGATTCATTTCTGCATTTGCGAGAGCGAGAGAGAGACAGACAGACAGAAAAAACTAGATTGGTCGGGAAAAAAACATTGGCTTGGGTGTGCGTGGGAATGGAAGACAGTTCAGGCGACAGGCAGAGATGGACGACGCCGGCTGATGTTTGTCGAGGGTTTTGAATAGTTCGTTGTATGAATTGGACACAGAAGAGACACAGCCAGACAGAGCCAAGGTGATGTGCCGCCCCACGGAGGCTAAGCTAAGCTTTTCGCAGAAACGACCACCGTAGATTGGTTGATTGGATCATGAAATTTTCGTGAAGGCAAAGATGAAATACGCGCGAGGGTATCAAAACCAAAAAAAAAAAAAAAAAAAAAAAAAAGAAAGGAAATCGTGGTGGCAAAAAAAAACAAAAACAAATCTGCGCGGCTGTTTTTCCCCCTTACCATCAAGCGGTATGAAGATCAGCTCAGCCCTAGAGATGTTTTCCCTCTTCGCAATGTTGTCGTTATTTTGTCGAATGAGAACCTCCGTTGAATTGTACATGGACGCGAGTTTCCTGACCGACGCTCCGTTATCCGGAGCCACGTAGGTAGCAAATTGCAACGGTGGCGCTGGGTCCGACGTGTTCCCCGGGGCCGCCCCCACGCTTCCCTTGGCCTCGGCCATGCTGCCGCCACACTTGCACGGGATCCAGACGTTCCATGTCACCCTCCTCTCGTCCGCCTGATTGGCTTTGCTCGAGTACACTATCTGATCAGCGCTAACCAAATAGCCGAACACCCTAGCCACCTCTTCAGCCGTCACCCCCCGGCCATTCCCGTTTGAATACAACAACGACGCCACCATTCCGCTGAGTAAAGAGGGGTCTTTACCTTTGTTGTTGTTGTTGTTGTTGTTGTTATTGTTGTTGTTGTTGTCATTATTACCGTTAGACGTTCCATCGCCACCGTGATGGACATCTAGATTGCGTACACATCGGCAAGTTTTCAAAAGGATCCGCAAGGTCGTGTTCGGGGGAACGTAGTCCGTCGTGCCACCCTGGGGTTGCAGGTATTGGCTTCCATTTTCAGCCCTTATGGTCTCGTCGGTAACGTTGAATATACCGGCCAGGTCGCTCAAAGTTGTGCCGTCAACAGCCCGATAAACGGCCCAGGCCTGACATGATGAGTTGGGATCGCAGGCGACCTCAGCTCCGAAGCAGAGCCGAGGAGCCGGAGCGAGGAGAGTCACCGTCCACAAAGCGACTGCTGCCATAACCATTGTTCCTCCCTTTAAGCCCGGGTTCATAATGGCTTCCCTCTGTCGACACCCTTGGGCTCCTCCTCCTCCTCCTCCCCCTCCTGCTGCTGCTCTGCTCGACTCCTCCTTTCCCTCCTCACCTCCCCACTCCTTCCGCTTCTTCTCCTCTCTTGCTCCGCGCCCCCCTCTCTCTCCCTTTGGCTAGGGGGACGCATATATCGGAGCCCCCGACCCCCGTCGCCCGGCTCCCATTATAGCTGACGGCAACGAAAACCCAAACCCAATCATGTCCTCGGGTCCCAGAAACGACCGTCGAGAGAGACAGAGAGAGAAAAAGCAGCGGCCACGACGAGGGCGGCAACGGCAAGGCTGGTTGTCTGCAGCCGTTTGCGGTCCGGACAACTCCGAACGAAGTCGGCTTTCGCCGCCCCGTCGACTGCGACGCCCCTAGTACCAGTAATAAATGCAGGGGAGGGGGCAACCCTCACCGCTCTCTCTCCTGCTGCGCCGCCTCTCCGAGTTCCACAGATCTTCACACAATCTGTCAGGTCTACCTTCGCACCTTCGAAATCGCCAGGCATTATGCACTGCTTGCTCAATCGACCGCCGCTCTTACACATACCGACACTCAGGTTGATTTCATCGGCTGCTGCGTGCATGTGTGTGTGTGTGTGTTTGTGCGTTGTCGTGTGTTCCCTGAGTGGGCGCACAGATGATCCGACGAGCACTTGTTTGTCTCGCTTTCATTCTGCAACCCTACTCAGAAAGACAAGTAGAAGGCCAAGATCTATGAGAGACAGACAAAGAGAGAGGGAGACAACAGCGAGAGAGAGGGAGAGAGAGCAAAGTGGGAACCGGGGGGAGGAGAGCAAATGATGAACACAACTATTTATTTTCCGGTTTTCTGCCCCCCTGGCGCCACTGGGAAATTCTTCCAATTGCCCCCGCAAACTTGCCACTTGGGATCAGCCACCGTACAGCTACTGTTGGGATTTCCAACCGTACCCCCTGAATTAATGGAGCGCATTCGTCTGCGCCCCCCCTCCTTCCACATTCAAATTCCCCCCGTCGTGTGTCCACCTTCGTGCGTCTCTCTTCCGCTTACCCTCCCCTTCTGCCTCCTTGCCCTCCTGCGTCTCCTCTTCTGCCTCCTCTCTCCTCCTGCTGCTACGAGCAATTGTCAACTTGCGAAACCGATATCGGAACCGCCTTCAAAAAACAAACAAAATTTAAATACTACGTACGACACGATTACGAAAGAATCGGTTGGTGAGTCCTCCGGGACATCCGTTAAAATTGGAACGATACAGAGAAGATTAGCATGGCCGCTGCGCAAGGATGCACACAGCGGCATTCGGGGGGTCATCGGCTCAATGCCAACCGTCTCAAGGACCTTCCTGGGCATACTTAGGACCTAGTTGCACTACTCGCCATACGTCAAGTTTGGCGAGGAGGCGCCTGGTTGCACTTACTCGCCGAACTTGGCGAATGCAAAATGTGTCAGCAGTTTGGCGAATGCAAAATGTGTCAGACGGCTCGCCACACCGTCGACACAAGAATTCGGTTTCCCGGCCTGTGCACGGCTGTTTGTGGAGGGTGGTCCTCGGACATCGCAAAATGTGTCAGACGGCTCGCCACACCGTCGACACAAGTTGTGGAGAGTGAACTAGGTTTCCCCGCCTGTGCACGGCGGTTTGTGGAGGGTGGTCCTCGGACCTCTCCGGTCGACATCATTTAGACAGTCCTTCGGGACATCCGTTAAAATTGGAACGATACAGAGAAGATTAGCATGGCCCCTGCGCAAGGATGACGAACGATGCAGAGAAGATTAGCATGGCCCCTGCGCAAGGATGACACGCATAAATCGACATCATTTAGACAAAACTTTTTAACTTTTCTGTAGAAGAAATGTAGTGGCGAGTTCTACACGATTCTCAGGGCCTCGCCGCACCACTGTCGAAAATGCAATTTTCGACAGTTTCTCTTCGCCACACAGGCTGTCGAAGTCGGAGACAGGAAAAAAATTATCCAGTTGTCAGAACATGGTTCTCGACAGCTCCTGTCGAAAGTTGTTGAATCCCCAGCCTGCTACCCCCATGCTTTCGACTGATACCACGCTCGGGCGTGGGGGCGCAGCCAGGTCGGGGCGGACCGGCGACTAGCCTACGAGAGCTTCATTTTCAATGTGCAGTTGCGGCAATGGAAGGAACCCCAAAACACGGCCACATTCAGGCATTAAGGGAACACCCCTATAAGTTGAGCTATATGCCAAAATGCACCTAAAAGATCTGGGTAGACCGGAACACTCTGGTCATCTTTGCAAAATACCCCCATCAGAGAGAGAGAGAGAGAGAGAGAGAGAGAGAGAGACGATGGCCGCCAGAACAACGCCTGAATCACGAATCTGGGCGCGTATGCGGAGAAGTACACAGAGCCGAAAAGAATCCAGCCCATACTTAAGTCGGATACGTCCCCCGGATGTTTTTTTTTTGGGGCCAACCCCCCCCCGCTCCCCCCCCAAACCGTCTGCCCAACCGTTGGTAGGCAACGACGCCGCAACAACGCTGTACCTGCCGCGTTTCCCGTAGAGAGAGAGAGAGAGAGAGAGAGAGAGAGAGAGAGAGAGAGAGAGAGAGAGAGAGAGAGAGAGAGAGAACAGCTAAGCCTCTAACGTCGCGGCTGGCCTCAAGGTACTTCCATCTATAGGATGAGCAAAATCGAATGAATCTAC